AAAGTTTTCTGAAATGTTTTGTTTAAATATGAAAACTAGGTATTATTTATACAAAATTGTGCTTATATGCAATCATTCCTTGAGCAGATATTAAAACACTGAATAAATTCATCTTCCAATTAAACTTCCTACATGACCAACAGGCCTCCATGTTTTTCACTTAAAATTTTCCAAAATGTTGAAATATGCAAATGAGGTATTATATATATAAAATAGTTCTAATCTGCAATAATTTCCTGAACATATTAAATGAATTTTCCCCGGATGACTATAAGCTAAAAAAAAAATAATAATTAATTACAAGTTTTCTAAAAACATATATATTTAGATATGTAAATTTGTTAATATATATATTTATAGCAATGATTTCTAAATTGGATAAATTCATCTACAAATAAAACTTCAGTTCGTCACAATAATGTTTTTTTCTTTGTGAAACAAGTTTTCTTAAAAACCCTGTTTGCAAATTAGGTGTTAAATATCTTTCTATTCTTTTTTTTATTTTATTTGTTTCGAAAGGCATACATTGCATTACTTTTTTATTACTTTTTTTATTTCTTTACTAACAGAACTCTGAATATTTGGAAAATAGAACTTAAAATTGAATTTCCCAACTTTACCTTGTTTTTTATAATATGATTTTTTGTTTTTTTTAACTATTAAAAGTTTTGTAAAATAAATAAATACATAACATTTTTTAAAAAAGATTATGTTTGAATATAATTTCAATTCAAATAAACTCAGCTACAAATTAAATGTCCCCCTTTACAATAATGCAATTACATCTTTGTGAAACAAGTGGTTTTTTAAATTGTTTTTGAATATGAAAATGACCAACTATAGATGTAAATTAATTTGTGTTAATCTGTAATTTTCTTCAAATCAAATTTCCTCTGTTTACGTCAAGACTGTGGCTATAAAATTTCTAGTTAAATAAGATTTTAAATTAATTTTTCCCAGTTATTTTTTAAACAAGTTTTCTGTTTTATATTGTTTAAATATACAAATATGGTTTTATACATAATGCCAGTATTTTTGCATTCATTTTCCACAGCTTGTATTTGCGCATTGGATAAATTCAGCTTCAGATTAAATCATTTCCTTAATTTCAAATATAGAGATGACTGTATTTCCCCTTTTTTTTAAAAAAAATATGCAAGTGAGATTTTAAATAAATCTAAAAGCTACCTTTGTATTTTGTATGATAGGATTTTTAGAAATTTGTGTTTAAATGTGCATATTAAGTATTGGGTAAATATGCATGTAAGGTATTATATATATATCTCCATTTTTATTTGCAATCATTGGATAAATCCACCTTCAAAGTCAATGTTCCCAGTTCACTTTAAAGCGGTAATAATCCCATGAGGTTAAAATGCCCCAATTTACATTCATTTCCAGAATACATTCCCCTCAATATTTAGGACACATGCTTTTGCCTCACTGCATATTATATTATATTATATTATATTATATTATATTATATTATATTATATTATATTATATTATATATTTTCATTTTTTAATTTTACCATAAGTTGGTGCATTAGATTGACTGGAATTCAAGAAATCAGATATTTGATTCTCTAGTTTTCAGATGTCTTCTCGATGTTCAAATGAAAACTGATTGATTCATGGATTTTAATCAACAAATTACCCCTAAATCAGATGACTAATGATTCATGAATAAACTTCTCTGTGTAAACTTTCAGATAAAACTGAAAATCCTGGTGTAGGTGCTCCTGACATGGGGATATCTGGCTCACAGTTTGAGAAGAAAAACTCATTTATTTTAAAAACAGCCTATGAAGATATGTATTCTCATTTAAATCTACAGACACAAATAGCCAAGTTTTATTCAAACAAACCTCTAAATGTGTATCTTGGATGTTTTCTTTCCACCAATCTGAAGGAAGACGTGTTATGGAAGCAACATATCTCCAAACCTCCTGATTGACCAGCGCCTTAAACAATGTCTTGTAGTGTCTCGCTGAATTCATGCCATCTGTTGTCACCCTGAAACCCCCACATACATCCAAGCCTCGTGTTCAGCTGTGAATTGTGTAGAACACTTGGAGTCTTTATTCTATATATCGCAAAACAACACACATTTGTCCAAGTACTCACAAAATATAAACCAAAAAATGTGTGGAAAAGAACATACATTTATCAACATGGGACATGAAGAAGCAACGGACAAAAGAAAAACAACCATGAATAGTTTCTAACATAAAGGAGATGCCCAACAGTGATGAAAGACGGATAAAATACACAAAACACAGATTTCTCTCTTTTTTTTTTTTTATGGCAAAAATACAGAATCGCAGATAGCATTAAAAAGTGTCAATAAAGTTAATTTAATGTTGAGTTACTCTTTAACCTTTTAAGACCTGAGCTCTTGATGTGCATTTTTTA